CACACACACACACACACACACTCCCAGAGCATGTGTGCAAATGCTCTGTCTAATTTCAAAATATAAAAAGTTTATAAAGGCTACAGATAATACAGCCACATTACCAAGCAATTACTGTGGATGAAATTTCAAAAATAAATAGTAACAGTACTTCAGACATATTTGAAAACTTACTATGTATTAAGGAAAAAATCCTTTTAATCTTTCCACTTTAGAATAAAACCAATCATTATTTGTAAGTTTCAATATTGTAATAACGTATTTGGTTCTCTTTTCTCCTTTTCTATTCAATTTTAAATTCTTTTTGATTACTTGTTGAAGGCAAACTTTTGACTCTTCAGTAAAGGATTTTAATGTGTTAATTTATTAATAGCTAATGACTACTTTTACATATTTGAATGCAGTGATATTAAGTTATGTTGGTGTTGATGCAGACATATGTTGAGAGACCTTTGCTGACATTTCTCCCCTAAGGTCAGGTATGGCCCTGAGCAACACTCTTTAAAAGTTCCCCCATGCAGTTTGCAAAATAGTTCTTTGTTTGATCTCCATCTAAGATCAACTTCCATTAAGAAACTGGTTTTTGCTTCAGACACATATGTGAAAACAATCAATGGACATACTAAGCTCCTACCCTGGGGGTCTTTAAGAAGAGGCTTGATGCCTACCTGGCTGGACTCACTTGAGTGCAGTTTTTCGCCCACCCAGGCAGGGGGTCGGACTTGAAGATCTACAAGGTCCCTTCCGACCCTACTTCTATGATTCTAAGGCCATATTTTTCATTTTACATTTCATTTTCAATTTAATTCCAATTAGCTTGAAATTTCTAGTAAATTCCTAGTCCATATTATGAATTACTATTTTAACACAATCATTTTTATGTAACTGAACCATTTCAGGAATCTATCAAAGATAACTTTCTATTTGAATCTGCAAATTGACATAAAATAGTAAAGGTCTAAACACGTATGTTAGCCAGTATTAGCATTGATTCAGAACAAGCATGCTCTGGAATTATGTGTACGCATTTTGAGATCTTGACATATAAAATATTTCAATGACATCAGCAAACAAAGTTTTGCCTCTCCACTCTGGGATAACACATATCTGTGTTTTAGTAATAGATAAACTGAAGCACAAATATTAAACTAATTTGCCAAGATCAGACAGAAAGACTGCACTAACTTCAACATGATCCCTCCATCCCAGTGAAATGCTCTTCATTACAGTAACCTTTGCTGGGTTGGCTGTAATGAAGTCTTCACTCCAAATCATTTCTGTCACTAGCCAGCTGATCTCCTTAGCATGGGAAGATGTTGTTTACACAGATTACCATATTTAACCTGAGTCCACAATGAGGTTTTCCCATCCACCAACACAAGGAAAAACAAGCCTCACTTTGGAATCAAGTACCAACACTCCATGTCTTCCCTGGCCCCTGATATTGGCCTGGGGTCAGAGCTGAAGCCAACAGCAACCCACTGAGTGCGAGTCAGGGGCCAGGCTAGGGTCTGGGATGGG